CAGACCTTATACTAATCATTAAATAACAGTGTGTCTTGACTTAATTGTGTTATACCGATATATTGACCACGTGACTGTGTTCGACTTTCTTTGCTTTCGAAGTCACACCCCGACCAGTTGTAGTAGTAGTGTGTATGTGAAAAATGCAAGTGATGCCAGTGCATATAGTATAATTTGCACAATAAAACCGTTTCATGTAAGGAACTACGAGCTATGGTGGTTTGTTCTAATCATAATGTTTATAAAGGAAAACTATTATAAAACGGGAAATTAAATCAAATGTTAATGTTTTGAATGTTTTAACAAATTAGGATTGTAATAGTGTATGTTTTTCCATCTCATATCACCGAACAAAGTTTCAAGATGTTACGATAGCAACCAGTTCAAAAATATAATTTTTTCACTTCGGCACAAATTTTCTTGAGATATAACTTACTTGTTTACCGAGTGTCCATAGCGCACTTACCTCGAAGTAAATGTTTACATGAAATTTGTTTTTATGTATTATATTCCTTAACCGACAAGAACAGAGTTTCGTCTTCGCGTCGCTTTCTAGTGCCGCAGGCGCCTGCTTTTTAAAAACCGATCACACCCAGAAATTCCTGTTATATGATCAATTATTCACGACACTAGAAACATAAATGCATTTTATCTGGGTGGTTTAGTATGTATACATCCATATTCAATAGATAGTTAAATAAAGCGACTCAACGAAATAAGTAAATTATCAGTTACTATAACTGAAGACAATATAGCGTGATAATTTCTTGTACACACTGATTGTAAAAACTCTTATCATGCACTTGTGCTAAGGGTGCAGTATTATTTGTTGTATCTGCGATAGTTGTGATTTAAACCTTGTATATTAACACAAGAAACAGTATTGATAACTTGATAAAAGACTCGGCACATTCAAGCGCGGTGGTCATCGCGCAGCGCGTGTTCGAATTTCATGTAAATAAACAATGTATATATTTTATATATGAGTCCTATATCGAACAGGAAGCGGCACGACGACTGCCGCCCTTTCAAGTTATGCAATGGACGAACTATTTTTTCTTCGGCTGTAATAGCGAAGACCGAATGACGTGCTCAATGCGAGTATGTTCAATACACAATGTGTATTGTTATTAACTGTCAATATTTATCGCGATGGCAGTGCTGGGGCTAATCTGCACTGGCTCGGAAGGTTGTAAATGATTAGCTAGTTTGAATTTCTAATTTGCATAACATTACTGAGAATGAACGTGCATTCAACGCCACAAGTTTTTTGTTTTTTTAGCCAATCAGAATTCATCTTCCGAGCCAGTGCAGATCAGCAGGAGTGCTGAGTGAGCAAGACGTTAATCGCAATTGTCGCAGGTACAACAAACAAGATAATACCCCCGACGTGCGTGCTCGACGAGCGTTCCCGCGGTCAACACGTACACGAAACGTAACAGAACACCCTTAGCGCGCGAGCACGACAAGTATTTCTACAGTCGAGATAAGGCACGATCACACTAGTCTTCGACATTAAAGCGGGAGGGTCGTCACCTGCGCACGCGCGGGAATTTAGTCCCAAGCGACGATAACAACACACGTTAAAAACGCAAAGGGTCATGGGTAGATGCTTGTTTGTAAACAATGAAACGCTATGGCCATCTGACGCATGCGCAGGTATCGACTCCTCCGCTGTAACAAACCAGGATCTGAATTTCTAATTTATTTTCTTTCATTAATAGCGATACAATACATAATCTCTTAATGATACAAATATATTAATAATTAATATTATCTGTTTTTCCCCCGAGGACATTTGGTTTGAGTAGTATATAATCAAGAGTCATTATTTCATACTTACAGGACCCGGAGTCTGTCAAACATTGCCAGTCGTTCGTGATTAATATGCTCTATCTCGTTTACTGCCAAGTACCTAGAATACAACAATGGTATACAAATTATTGACGATGTAATGTAATTTTTAGCATTGGTTAAATTCTCCAAATATTAGAATTATGGCTCCAGAATTCCTTCACAACCAATGTTCCGACATCTCTATGTTCCGACACCCCTATGTTCCGACACCCCTATGTTCCGACACACAGTATACTTGTGTCAAACTTAATCTGACTAGCTCTCATGCGGCCACAACCGATTATAATGCACATGATACCCTGCGTGACCTTTGACTACTATGACCTGTAACTAGGATGCCCTGTGGGTTAATACTGGGAATCCAACTGTAGTGAACCAGAGTCCGGCCATGATGCTCGAATATTCATGAAGGCGGGATCTTGCATATTGTTATCGTATAATTATCAGAGAATTGTTTCCAACTTTAAATCTTCCGATAGCCTAACTATCGAAGTTTTAGATCGATAGTTATGGGAGAATTATTTTACCCTTTTTATGAAAGTTGTATTTCGATACTCATCAGTCGCGGAATTGCAAGGTTGCTGTTTACACTCGGTACCCGGTAGCATTTTTCTAAATTTATCTACATATTAATTAAATTTTT